ATGTATTGATTGAGAGTTTTGTTTATCGTTCGTAGTGCTTGAGTTCAGATCCTGATCCCTGGGGCCTAGACACTGGTGGTGAACGAGTGAAGAAATCCCTAAGGTGGTTGCGGGTTCAAAGGCTGTTTGGTTTGCAATGTCCCGGTTTTCAGCGCCGGCGTGATTCGTGGCTGGAAGGGAGTTGATGAAGCTGATGTGAGCCGGTGTTCTCTCGAGTTGGTCTGCCTGTCGAGATGATCTGGCTCAGCTGTTAATGATGTAATGCAAACCTGTGCATGCGCGTCTCACGGCAGCCGAAGCAATCCAAGATGGCGGACATGTAGTCCGCGAATTGCTTTAAAAGCTTTTAAAAGTTTAATACAAACGAATTATAACACAAATGTCACGTTTTAAGAGTAAGAGTTTTGTGTAAAGTTTGTTTTAAGCAGTCCACTCTCTTGTGAAACTACACTGCTGCTGTGTGATCGCAGTCCCTGAGTTGACCGCTGCATACGTCAGGCCCATGACGCGTCCTGTGACTGGTCTGTTGGGTTGATAATGGAAAAAATAAATTACATTTTATGCATGTATCATACTGTATTCAATATGATTAATAATAGTGTGTTCAAACGAAATATTTAATTATATTGAGTTTTTTCCCCATTCTGGCGGGTTGCTGCGCATGCGCAAGTCAGATTTGGTCACACTAGCAGTGTAGTTTCACAGGAAAGTGGACTGCTTAAAACAAACTTTACACGAAACTCTTACTCTTAAAACCGACATATCACAACGCGGAACCATCAACATCTCGCCTCAAATTGCATTAAAAGTGACATTCGTGTCTGAATTTGTTTGTATTTCACTTTTAGCAGCTTTGGCTGCAGTGAGACGTGCAGTGCTGGTTTGCATTACATCATTAACAGCTGAGACAGATCATCTCGACAGAACACCGGAGGAAGGCATGGGCGTGGGCGTGGCGTGGCGTGGGTGTGGCGCGATGACGTAGGCACTCTGTCAATTTGAAGTTCTGCTTAAAGGCACACCGCGGACTTTGTGACCTAAAGAGTTGACACATATGAGTTATTTTATATGAATACTTGGGCCAATATACAGCGCTTGACACTTGCAATGCTCCGAGCGGGGCTGCCCTCTTGAAATACCGCCCATGTAACTTTCGAGCAGACGGACCGTCTGCCACCAGGTCACGTGACTTGGAAGAAAGACTTGCTTTACGGCTACAGGCGCTGATATACTCATGGAGCTAAGGCTTTTGCTACTCATTTTTCACCTGCTCGACTCCTGGTCATGGCTGAGGCAAGGAAAAATTTTAAACCTTTTGGAGGAGGCTAAAAAGAGGAAACGCGAAAGGGATCGTGCTGTAAGCTGCATGTCTGTATGAGCGCTGCTGTTCACCTGGTTCCTGGATGTCATCGACCGCAACGATGTCATTCCACGCAGCACGAGCTAGACGCAGAACTCCCTCATCCAGGATATAGAAGTCCATGTGTGGTAGATTACTAATGCAGCGGTCTGGAGGCTGACCACAGCAGAGTCTCTCAATATCTGTAGGCATGTCTCTACAGTTTGAACACACACACCAGTGCATGCTGTCTGAATACACACTCAAAAGACACCGGCTGACTGTTTGACTTTTGCGACAGTGCTGAGTTGCTTGTGGCCACTAGGGGCGCTAAACGTGAAAGTTGCAGGTCTAGCGCCCCTAGTGGCCAAGAGTTACACGGTGTGCCTTTAAGCTTCATAATTGTTCCTAATATTTATTGCTTGACTTTTTCTATTGGGACAAACTAAATGTAGGAACCCCAGCATTAATAGTATGATTAGACACAATTCCTCGTCCCCATTTCTTGTCTTAAGTCATTCTTGCAGACCCACGCCTTGTGCCTCATCCATAATCCCTAGTGTAATATATTTTGACCCTCCATAATTACTGCAGTGGTGTTGTATACTTCCATATTGTCAGTTCTTTCTCTGCTTGTGTGTGCGTGTGTGGAGGTCATCTCTCTGCTCTGCTTCTGCCAGGAGGGGACTGAGTTGTGCCTTGAGTTGTTTTGATGGTTCAGACAGCTGCTCCTGTAACCGTTTAGACAGAGACGCAGGGCGCACTCCTGCCTCTAGGGGGGGCTGCGGGTAACTGCATGTCACCATCGCCACGCTTATGTGAAAGACCTGCCACCTGCTTCCACCAAATAAACAAGTTGTCACCATCCATCGAGCTGTGAAATCCTATAAAGTGGAAATGACTTTGGAGCGTCTGTGCGTCCCCAGTGGGAAAGTACATTCAGCTTATTTTAGATGTGATTTGAGATTTTTTTGTGTTATTTTAACTTATCACAACTATTTTTATTTCAGCAACAAAACGAAAAAAAAATCTTTGTTGTAATTTCACCATAGATTTTGAAAATGTTTGATTATTATACAACATGACTTAATTGTAAATCAACTAATACATAGTATGAATGGCATGTCCAAACTAAGGCCCGGGGGCCAAATGCGGCCCTCTGTGTCATTGTATGTGGCCCCCTGCCTGGCCAAACCAATGTACTGTAGCTATTCTATACATTTCTGGCTTCGCTTAAAGGGCAGTAAGTAATATTTTAATTTGTAATGACAAATTTGATGTGTTAACAGGTCACGTGAGCCCGTCATATGAACAAAAGTTACTTTCAAGTGGAGTAGTTCTTAGTCAAAAATACAATGGCTTGCTGTCTATATCAGATCATCCAATCAGAGAGAAGAATGAGGCTCTCACTTGTGTTGCCAGTTTGTTAGATGAAAAGTAGCAGGTTTTGATCAGGGCTTCAAATAGCATCACTGCTATGGCAAAAATCCCTCTGAAATATGTTTTTTGTAATCATAAATGTGTTATATAATTAGTAAAAGACACCAATTTCTTCAAAGATAATTAACACCAACATAATTAGCAAAGAACGCCAATTTTTTCAAACATAATGTGCAAAAAACCAATTGATTAATCAAAAACTCGTTTGCGTTTGTGGAATTGAAGGTTGATTTGTGTCTAGACTCTGGAGCTGGACTCACTGAGATCCTAAAAACTAGTGTGAAGTTTAATGTTGTTTAAGTTTTATTTTGAGCTTCTTCTTGAATGCTCAGGAGCCGTACGTCTCTCTCAATCAGGCTGCTGTCATTGATCTGGGAGCTGCCTGACGTCCCGCTCGATAATACAATGCCAACAGTGATGCCGTGTCACTTATAGCCGCCCTTCTGACCGTGCCCGTCGCTCTCCTCACCTTTAACATCGCTGAGCATCCGACCCGGCCTGGGAGGAAACAGGAAGAAGGGAACTGTGGGGTTTTAGAATAACCTGGTCAGGATAGCAACACTGACTGGCTAAATGTGTCTAAACAGATCCAAACTTATATACTTTATTATTCCCAGCTCATTGAAATGTAAATGTTCACTTTATTGTTCCCGTAGAGAAATTTGTCCTCTGCATTTGACCCATCTTGATGCCGCTAAGGCTTACGTCAGGAGCAGAGGTCGCCGTAGTAACAGCGCCCAGGAACCCATCTCCAGATGCTGATGCTCGGCTTGGTCAGGACCGGAGCGGGAGGATATTACCTATTGTGCATGTTTTTAAGTGGCAGGGGAAACCAGAGCAAACCTACACAGACACAGGGAGAACATGCAAACTCCACTCAGAAAGACCCTCTTCCGACCGGAATTTGAACCCAGGACCTTCTGGCTGAGAAGCGGGAGCACTATCCTCTCAGCATGTTTGCAAAGAACTTAGAACATAACTGCAGTCTTTGCGATTAGCTAAAATGACCACAATATTTTACATTTTTGATTCGATTACAATCATCTCCAATAGACACCTTCATCTCAAAAAATCTCCTTAAAGCTCTTTTTACACAGCACAGTTTTAAGCTCTGACACCAAAACTTGTAACATCTCCTGCTTGTGCATGGAGCGCGGTGCATTCATCATGAGGCGGGGGTGTCACTGTGGCTGAGATGGATTGCCCCGGGGCAGTTAGCCGTCTCTAAAGCTGCCGCATGCTCCACACAGATCCATCAGCGCTCCACAGGCAGCCGTGTGTCTAGAGACCAGGACTTATCCCTGCCCTGTCCTCCGGAGGCAAACACACGCTTTGTCGCCAGCTATATTTCAGCTTAGTGGGGTTGTAACTTGTCTGTGGGAATTCAGAGAGTGAAGGGTCTTATATAGATTTGTGTGGCCCGCTTTATGTGAACGGTGCAGCTATTGGGCTGTTCTGTAACGTCTTTGTAAAGCCAGGCTACGATTGTCTTATTTATAGCTGTCGTAGCCTCTATGTTCGATTTCCTAACGTTTTCCTAAAGTGGATTGGTGGGTGATTATTATTTTTATTCTGGTGTTTCTGTTATTTTTTAATGGACTATTTTAAATGTATCAATCAAAAAACCAACCTGTTTATATTTGTGACAATAAGCAGGACGTATTGTTTGGTGAGGGAGATTTGACTTAGCCGGATTGACTTAAATCTGTAAAATAAAGTAAAAAAGTGCAATGAAATAGTATTATGTATGTTTTGAATGTATGTGCACACTGGCTTGACACAATTTAGTGAAAGTGTATAACTTGTTTTGTTGGAGCTCTCTTTTGTACTCACGCTGAAGCCTTTTGTAGTATGTATGTTGTATGTTGTATGTTGTATGTTTTTATTTATATACCGCCTTTTCACTGCAGATCTGAGTCTCAAAGCGGTTTACAATTGTTAATTTTGGGCATTTGTCTCTCACTCCACACAGAGATGGGAGCGGGGTCGCCAGTACAGGCGGCGCATGCCAGAACTATTGGACATATTTTTAGTGGTAGGGGAAACCGGAGTACCCGGAGGAAACCTACGCAGACACGGGGAGAACATGCAAACTCCAATCAGAAAGGCCCTGGTCCGACCGGGATTCGAACCCAGGACCTTCTTGCTGAGAGGCGAGAGTGCTATCCACTCAGCCACCGTGCCGCCCACGGCATAGTACTGGGCATAAGTCGAGGTGTTGATGGTGGTGGAGTTTGAGAGTTACTGCAGAAGACGAATTTTGGTAAAAATCAGTTGTCAGCAAGTGGAGTTTGCATGTTCTTTCTGCGTAGGTTTCCTCCATGTGCTCCGGTTTCCCCTACCACTAAAAACATGTTAAGTAGGTATGAATGCAATGAGTGAGTGAATGGAGGGTGTTTGATCAGAGGCTTTGATGTAGAGCTGCAACTAACGATTATTTTGTAATCAATTAATCTATCGATTATTTTTACGATTAATCGAGTAATCGCTTGGCTGTGAATTGTGTAGAAAAAAATTATTTTTTCATCACAAAAAGCTAAAGTGGCAACACTCGAGGACGTATTGATGGCGTAAACTTAAAGTAAATGTTTGTAACAGGCTCTTTGTGCTAATTCTGCTATCTGATTGGATGAGACAGACAGATATTCATGAAATTATAAAAACAAAGTCGGTTTTAATCAAAAATACTACATTTTCATGTCATTTTTGCTCTGTTTGAGTCCGTGTGAACCAGAAAACAATTAATCGATTACTAAAATAGTTGTCGACTATTTCAATAATCGATTAGTCGTCGATTAATCGATTAGTTGTTTCAGCCCTACTTTGATGGACCAGTGTGTTCGGCGTCTTGCTTCCATAATAGCCGTGTGGAGAGAATGGAACAATATTCTGAACTCTGAAGATTATAAAAGTGCTTTGGGGACCATGGTCTGTGTAAATGCGCTATATAAAAACAGATTACTTACTTATATACTTACTTCATAATGGGAAGGCACTTAAAAGCTTTCTGCTTCGGCCTTGTCCAGTACTTGTAACAATACATAGTAAAACTGCTCAAATAATCTACAACTTTTACTTCTACTACTACAAGATACATAGAGGACAATTACAGATTCTGTTTGGAGTCAGTTTCTGTGTAATATTGTGCAATGATGATGTCTCTGGGAACAATAAATAATTGTAATTCTAACTCCCTTTTTTTCTCCCGGAAAATGCATCTGAAGATTTAACAGGAAGAACACAAGTTAAATTGCTTTGATTATCTTTCTGTCAGAGTGATCTACTTGGTTTCCCTCCAGCACAAAGGGAAGCGCTCCAAGTACTGTTTTAAACCTAACTAAGACATAAATCTAGGTTTAAATTTAACATACTGTTCTTTGTGGTATGCATTATTCAATAGGCCCCATTTTCCAAGTCCTAAATCAGGTCATGTGGACTCAGGGTATCCTCGGTCTCTTTTGTTCAAGAGGGACACAGAGGCGCCTGCTCCCATACTCCAAATATCAGCTTGAAAAGTTCATTATAGCAGGTGGTGTTTGCAAAATCGCTTAATTATTGAGGGCTTTTTGTTTCCTCAGAGATGTGCCAATGATTAAATAACATGGGGTCTTTGTTCTGGACTCTGATTGTGATTAAAAGTGAACTTCAGACACTATTGATACTAAAACTAGCTTATGGGAATATAGACACATATTTGAACAAAGGATCATCTGACAACCTTGCTGATAGTGCTGGATTTATTGTAAGCTGTCCGAAGTATGGAACAACAACATTGAAGGGGCCTTATATACTGTAGATTTTGATGTGGGAAAAAAGTTCATATTTGTGCATATTTGATCTTGTTATGAGTCTTATGAGTCGTCAGTATTTAAACTTTTCATCAGGGTTGTTTGAGAGGTTTGTTTGCAAAGTTTTCTCTGCTGAGGGACCCCTGCACCAGAAAACCTACAAAACAACTGTACACACAACCCTGATCAAAAGTATAAGCAAAAGCGCAGACACAGACACACACACAACCACACACACACTGATATGGTGGCACGCACTACACCCAAAAATGCCCCATCCACTTTTGTTGTATTCCTTATTGGTTTGAATCTTATGTAAACATTGATTAGCAATGCTTCTCTATATTGAAATTTATTACTTCCTTGCATGATGCTTCTAAATAAAGATGATAAATAAGTAACAGCACTATAATGCCCTAACACAAAAGAAACTTTATGTCAACATAAAAAGTTGCATAAAAAAATCATTTAGTGTTGTAAATGGCGGTTTTTTGTCATCACAGAAAATATCAAGGCAGAGAACAGATCATTCTGGAAAAATAATCCTTTATATTAACTGTGGTAGACAAACACCACCACAACATCGCATGTGACGCAATCTCCAAGTCATGGTCCCGCTTTCAGTCAGATGTTGTTTACTCAAGAGTCCTCGTATTTCTTTCATGAATAAAATAAGTGGTTTAAACCTTGAGTCTATTGAATTCACACAATACAGCCACCTATCTACAAACATTTCTCTCGATTCTTTTCAATCCATCAACATGTGAGATCAATAAAGTTGATCTTATCTTATTCAAATCAATTGCGTGCCAAGGGGTTTATTGGCAAATTACCGGTTCTAGAAAAACAAACAGCTTTGCTCTTCAAAATCTTTCTGAAGGTTGAAATTCTCACATTCTCTGCGGTGTTGTTTCTGTCCTTTTGATAAACTAAGTCTTTCTTCTTGTTCTGTTTCAGGACACCTCCAAACAAAGGCAAGTGCGGAAGAAGACAGTCTCCTTCAGCTCGATGCCCAGCGACCGTAAAATCAACAGCACGGCGGCTTGTATGGCCTTCATGATGGAGGGCTGCGAGATGAAGAAAGTCCGCTCCAACTCCCGCATGTACAACCGCTATTTCCTCCTCGACCCCGACATGCGCTGGTTGCGATGGGAGCCCTCCAAAAAGGATTCGGAAAAGGCCAAATTGGAAATCAAAAGCATTAAAGAAGTGCGACTGGGGAAGAAAACGCCAATCCTACGCAGCAATGGACTCTCTGACCAGTTTCCGGATGAGTGCGCCTTCTCGATTATTTACGGCGACAATTACGAGTCCTTAGATTTGGTTGCTAGCACTGCAGACTTAGTTAGTACTTGGGTAATGGGACTGAGGTATCTAGTTTCTTACGGCAGGCATACAGTCAACATGGTAGAGCCTAGCCAGCCAAGTTTGCGTACGTCTTGGATCGGATCGGTTTTCGAACTAGCGGACACGGACAAACAAGGGCATATAGATTTGTTCAGGGCGACGCAAATCATAAAGGGACTAAACCCAGGGATGAAAGAGGCACTTATTGAGCTAAAATTCAAGGAGTTACAAAAGGCGAAAGACCAGTACAGGGAAGCAATCAACATGGATACATTCGTGGAGGCGTATTGTGAGTTGTGTACGAGACCAGAGATCTTCTTCTTGATGGTGCAGTTTTCAAGCAACAAGGAGTATCTGGACAGTAAAGACTTGATGCTATTTGTTGAGGTTGAGCAAGGGGTAGAAATTGTGAATGAAGAACTGTGCAAGGAAATCGTGCAAAAGTTCGAACCGTCATCCGAAGGCAGGGAACGTGGATATCTCTCCATAGACGGCTTCACTCACTACCTCTTGTCCTCCGAATGCCATATTTTTGACCCGCAACACAAGCGGGTATGCCAGGACATGACCCAACCCTTGTCGCACTACTACATAAACTCGTCCCATAATGCCTCTCTTCTTGAAGACCATTTCTGGGGATCCTCTGATATAAGCAGCTACATTCGTGCTTTGCGAATGGGTTGTCGGAGCATCGAGGTAATCGTATGGAACGGGCCAGACAACGAACCCGTGGTCTACGTCGGAAGCTCAGTCGCATCTCAATTGGCGTTCTCGAAAATCCTTGATATTATAAATCAGTACGTGTTTGAAAGTTCAGAATATCCGCTAATTCTTTGTTTAGTGACTCATTGCTCCATCCCTCAACAAAGAGTAATGGCGCAACACTTGAAAAAGATACTTGGGGATAGATTATACATCCAAATTCCCAGCAAGGAGGAACACTACCTACCATCACCTGAAGTACTAAAAGGCAAAATTCTTATTAAGGGTAAAAAGCTGCCTCCGAGCTGCCCTGATAGCGAGGGAGATGTTACAGATGAAGAAGAAGGGTTAGAAATGTCAAGAAGAGTGGGTTTTGACGACAAAGACCAGCTAAACGGTTTGAGTTTCAAAAGACTGAGACTTTGCCGGGAGCTTTCTGACCTCGTCTCTCTCTGCAAGTCCGTACAGTTCAGGGATTTTGACGTCTCCAAACGAGAGCAAAAATACTGGGAAATCTGCTCCTTTAACGAGGTGGACGCAAACAGGTACGCTAACGAGTTCCCGGAAGAGTTTGTCTGCTACAATAAGCGCTTTCTGTCCAGGGTATATCCCACTCCAATGCGAATAGATGCCAGTAACATGAACCCTCAGGATTTTTGGAAGTGCGGTTGCCAGATAGTTGCGATGAATTATCAAACTCCAGGACTGATGATGGATTTAAACTTGGGTTGGTTCAGACAAAATGGAAACTGCGGGTATGTTTTGCGACCAGCTATCATGAGAGAGGAGGTGTCTTACTTCAGTGCCAATGCTAGGGACTCGCTACCGGGAGTTTCTGCGCAACTTCTTCACATTAAGGTGATCAGCGGACAAAACTTACCCAAACCACGGGGGTCCGCGGCAAAAGGTGACGTGGTGGAGCCATACATATACGTCGAAATACACGGCATACCAGCAGACTGTGCGGAGCAACGGACCAAAACAGTTGCTCAAAATGGCGACAACCCCATTTTTGACGAAAGTTTTGAGTTTCAGATCAACTTACCCGAACTGGCAGTGCTAAGATTTGTGGTTCTTGATGATGACTACATTGGAGATGAATTTATCGGGCAATACACAATCCCGTTTGAGTGCCTACAGCCTGGATACCGGCACGTCCCACTCCAGTCGCTAACGGGGGAGTTTTTACCCAATACGACGTTGTTTGTCCACGTAGCCATCACGAATAGAAGAGGTGGAGGGAAGGCGCATAAGAGGGGGATTTCGGTGAGGAAAGGGCGAAAGGCACGGGAGTACACCACCACCAAAACAACGGGGATCAAAGTCGTGGATGAACTGTTCAGAGCATCAACGCAGCCGCTCAGAGAAGCCACAGACCTCAGAGAGAACGTACAGGTAAGACTCTCACATTTTAATGCAATTGAGATCGATGCTGCTTCTAGTCTTGGTTTAAAAAAAGGTTTTGTCAGGATCCATGAGTTTGTAGTCCTGTAGAAAACCAAATAAACTAAAGAGGACTAAAAATCTGTTTTATCAGGGCTTAAAAGTTCTCAAAACTAAACTTGATGTAAATTGTACTCACAGAACATCACAAAAATGTCATGCTAAAACAATTATTTAGGCTAAAAAATGCGAAAATATGGCAGCAGTAGCTCAGTTGGCCTTTGAGCCTAAAGGCCATGGGTTCCATCCAACCAAAACTCTCACTGTCATTGGGCAAGACACTTAACCCCTGTGGACTCAGCACCTGCAGGAGGATCAATGAGGTGATTTGGGGGGGCATCTGTGACTGCCACCCCCCGACCCAGAAATGGATTAAGGGGAAAAAGATGGATGGAGAAGGATTGCCATTTGCCATCGTCATTTAAACTAATTCATTATTTGGCTGCTCAAAACTGTAATTGTAATGGATGCTCTTAACTCATTTCTTGATGAATGAACTTAATGACTCAACCCGCTGAGTTTGTCGGTCTACAGTAAGTGAGGCCTGGTTTAGTCTTGATTGACTTCCATGTGATTGTATTGGGCTTAATATCACAACAGCTGTTTCTAATAAAAGGTTAAAAATGCAAAGCCTGAAACAGGAATGGTTTATAGAATAAATCTCATCTCCAATCTTCATTAGCAGTATTTCTGAAGGCCTTCGATATGTTTTCAGAAGAGAAAATCCAATTAAAAGTTATGAGTATTTAAAAACAAATAATTCACTAAAAGGATTTTGCCTTTCACATATGAAAAAAGTATCAAATGACGTATGCCTCACCATTGAGAAACTAATTTTAATTCCTGCTTTAGTTTGTAATTTTTCTTTTCACTTCAACTTGACATTTGCAAAAGTAAAGTTGTCAGAGAATGTGAGTGATGCCTTTATATGTTTCTTCCTACAATTAGTCTTCAAAAAGAGCCAGGGCTTCTTTTTGTGGTGCTTTTTGTGGCACATTGTTTGAGATACAGACAGCTCAACAATAAAACCAATCTAAGTGGAAATAGATAACCAGGCCTGTTTTTTAAAATGTCATATTCCATTGAATTGTTGTGTGGATTTAAAATATGTATGCCACATGGCTCATATGGCAAGTTCTCCAATATCTCAATATAAATGTTTAATATTTGTGGATTCTCGGTTCAAGTGGATCTTTCAAAGAGAGATTTGCACTTTATTCTCCTCTGCTGTATAGTTTAGTGCCAACAAAGCAGCAATGACATCACATGGTCTTCCATTGCAATACAAGATACATGCTACATCTCCCATCTGTCTATGAGGACACAGCAAACACAAGAAGAACAGATAATAATGTGTTCTCTCCACAGTACCCACTTTAAAATGTATGATGAATTGGATGTACTTTATTATTGTAGTCCTAGCTTAATACAAATTTAGCTATTGGGATCGCCCTCCTATCTGCTGGAGCCACAAATAGTGTTTGCCGCAACGAAATCTGTCAACAAATATTCCCCATTATTTGGCTGACCGATTAGGCTCTTCTACATTTTGACATATTTGTTCAAATACAGACCAGGAATCGGGCAAATTGGCTTCCAATTCTCTGATCAACGAAAGGACAAAGGACCAAGAGTGCAAGAACCAAAATTAGTGTATGATTGTGTAATTTTGGCCAGGAAATAATATATTAATCTATGCTTTTAACCAGCTTTTCTTTTCCGCGTCTGCATAGGGAGAAACAAAAGAACATATATAATTAAGTATACAGTGTGTGTGTGTGGGTGTGTGTGCATACCTACCTGTGTGACTGACTAACATGTCTTTTTGTATGTATTTGTATTTATTTTTCATCCTTTATTTAAGTTTTATTCATATGTGTGCTTTGATTTTTGTCTGGTCTTTTGTCCCATATGTCTGTTTGAATGTAGGGATGTTTGAAAATGATCTGTTTTATTGTCCATAACTATCATACTAATGTGTTTGTATTTTGTTGCCCTAGCCCTGAATGTTGCACAGGTTTGGCTCTGGCTTTACTCTAATGTACTCTAATCTCGGCTCCTCTGGTTTAGCTGCTACTGGTGAAAACATGGGTCACATTTTCAATCAATCAATCAATCAATCTTTATTTATAGAGCGCTTTTCCTTCTCAGGGCAACACAAAGCGCCTCACAGTCCACACCACACAAGGCACAAATCATCACCATTAAAAATACAATTAGAAACACATAGGTAATTAAAAACATAAACAAATTAAAATCACACAAGTAATTAAAAACATTAAAATCACACAAACACACAAAGTTACAATATTAAATAACAAGGTGTGGTAAAAAGATAAAATTCTTCAGTCGTATGCACAGGAAAAAAGAAAAGTCTTTAACCTGGATTTGAACATCGACAGAGAGGAGGCCAGTCTCACATCTTCAGGAAGACTGTTCCAGATTTTAGCAGCATGAATCTGAAAAGCAGCCTCCCCATGTTTAGTTCTGACTCTGGGCACTAACAGGAGTCCAGTCCCTGTGCTCCTCAGAGTCCGGGCTGGTTCATATGGGACTAACATGTCACTAATATATTTTGGTGCGAGGCCATGGAGAGACTTGTACACAAGCAGAGCTGTTTTAAAGTCTATTCTCTGAGCCACAGGAAGCCAGTGCAGAGACCTGAGGACTGGACTAATGTGGTCGTACTTCCTGGTTCTAGTCAGGACTCGAGCTGCAGCATTTAGAATGTACTGCAGCTGTTTATGACAAAAAAAGGAGAATTACTAAAAAGCTAATGCTCCCGTCATCAGACTGTACACGGATCTACATTTTTGTTCAGCTCTTTGCTTCTCCCTGCATGGCTCAAATAGTGGAATGTATAAAAGCACCTGAAATTATAAAAATCCCCAAAAAGTCTACATAATAATGATGTTTCACAGTGGCCTTGACGGAGCTCCGGCCTCAAGCTGAAACTCTAATGAAGTGTCGGAGGTGGCCGAGCACAGAATAGCAAACAGTTCTGGAATTAAACCAAGAATGTGAAACAAGAATAGGTCAATTAAAATGGTTACTATGATGGGAGCTTTTCAATTTCACTCGGGGATTCCAATAGATAGATAGCGTTTTGTCTGTGGTAGCCTGGTCGTACCGCACCATTGTACCAACTACACTACTTTTGTAAATTGAAACAATTGGATCTGAGTTTACTTTGACGTACATGTGCCGAAGTGAGTCGTTAGCATTTAGCCTAGCTTTAGCCATCTACCTTTGCCGTTAACGGAGCCCGTGGAGAGTAGCACCACAATCTTCGTCATTGCCTTACTACGACAAGCTAATTCGGCGCAAACTTTTGACGTCCCCCACATCTACCCACCACACCCGCCTCCCGTACTCTCTGATTGGTTGTATGGGATTCAACCGATGAAATTGCAGACATTGGGACTAGACCCAGACGGTAAATGCAGGAAAATGATAATTGACCAGAGTTTACGGATGGCCAAGGCCTGCCTATGTCTGTGTGGTATTTGACGTCCAGCTGAGTTCTTACCTACTTCTATAAGTGAATATAAGTTTAATGTTAATGTTGACCAGAGAGAGTGAGGACTAATAACAATTGCTTTGTTTTGTGACGATTTTAACAGTTGTATCCTATTTTCTTACTAGTTAAATATTGTTATTTGCCCAGAACTTCTCTCTTCAGTTTCCCAATAATCTGAGTCATGTTTTCATACACATTGTCCTCAACAGCGTGTGAAGTATGTGTAGAACTACAGCACGCTGTTCCGATGTCACTGTTATAAACCAAATTGTAACGTTAAAGTATCAATGAATCAGCCTTGTACAGATTACGGCCGTGGGTGAACTTGCAAGCTGCTAATCTCGCTCACACTTCACCGAATCAAATTCTAAAGTGCTTAAAATCCAATCAAATATGCACGGCTAAGTTTGGAAATAATCGCCAGCGTGTCGTGTGTCAAAACTGACACTTTAATCTGCCCGGCAACACTGACTCATCCTTCATCTCAAATTTAATCTATGAGTTCGCTGGGGGAAAATTAAGGGAGGTGAACGACGCATGCAAATCTGCTTTTGAAGCACATCCAGCGGCCTCCTCCGCCACACAGATGTAAATGTTTCTGTTTGATATTGAGACTTTAAAGTTGATTTAATAAATATGAAGCGGACTTGAATGGGGGCGTTTGAAACTAGAAAGGCCTTTTGGAAGTGTCTTCTCCGTGAATGAAGATGCATGTGGAAGCCGAGCAAGAGGGATATTAAGCCATCCCATTTATAAACAGGTCGTTTGTCCGTGGCCGTAAAGCTGGAGTAAAATGGTATTTCTCAATTTCAGTAATAGTATTATACTAGGCAAGGCAAGTTTATTTATATAGCACAATTTCATACACAAGGCAACTCAAAGTGCTGAACAAAATAAGATAGCATTAAAATCATAAATAATCACAGTACATTAATGTTACTACAGCAGGGATTTGTGTGGCATTTGGACTGGGGTTGGAATCAAATATTCTTTGTGCATCCAACCCCTTTTGAAAGTATGCACCTGTTATTTCTCTGTTACACTGATGCAGGGGGTCTCCAACCAGTAGCTCGCCAAAGGATATAGATATGAACAAATTTAATATTATACTTAATATTTCAGACTGTATTATTCATTTTCATCATTTATTATTGTAAATGCACTTACTTTTTTCTCTAACAAATATGCCATGATAAATAATACTCAATACCAGGCTTGTTCAGACCAATATATCACAATTTTTTTACGTAGGGCTAAAAACAGTAGCTCTCTGCGTGAAAAACTTTATAGAGACACCTGATGTACAGTATGTTGTGCAGGTTTAAAATGAATAAACAAATCTAATAATAATAATAATGAATAACTTTTAAACTATATTATTTTGGACACTCAAAAAATGCCTCACATGACAATATTAATTCACTCCATACAT